AGAAAGGGATGAAACTCTAGACTCAGGCAAACACCCCAGTTTTCCAAAAGGGGATGAAGAAGGTTATCAAGAAACTACCTACTTTTTTACATCACACTAATTCCTGGTTACGTTTTAAATAAATAATGGAAATGTACCATAATGTCCTTAATTACTATGCTACCAGAAAGAAAGATCATAGAACCATCCACATAGCCAAATCTGCATCCATTCATTCAGAAATTACTTTATAGCATGTAAGTACTATAAATACTAATATAGCAATTATTACCAAAGGCAGGGACTATGATAGGCACCTATTAGATGATGGTAAATAAAAGGGGGTGCTTTGACATTTATCTCTCTCACAGAGCCTTCTAGTTAGAATATGTGTGCGAAAGTTGTGATCATTACTGTTACAGAAAAGCAAGCAGTGTAATTAGAAGATTCCAGATCAGAGATAAATTGCCTTGTCTGAGAATACCGTAGAAGGCTTCCTCAAGTGTTAGGAAGTCTTTCTTCTCTTTAGGATTCCTTAAAAGAACTGATTTCCAAATGAGAATTAAAAAATATATTTTTTCTTGGTAGCCAAGCCAGTGCTTAATAATCTCTAGAATTCATGCTTCTCTGGTGAAAGCTACATTGAAGACATAGCCTAGGATGGTTGCCCAAGTGTGGCTCCCCAGCCCTCTCTTCTGAGTTGAATATAAGTTGGACAATCAGCTACCACCAACCTGCAGAGCCCAACCAAGCAGGCTGGAGATGCTGGAAGAAGGAGCTCTGGGGCTGATGGGGATGCTCCTCCAAGACCAGCTCTGGGCGCTTCTGTAGGAGGCCCTTCTGCTCCTCTTTCTGGGAACAAGCAATACAGGAGAACCTGGCCCTTATACAGAACCATGAAGAAAGAAAAAGGGAATGCAAAGAAAAGATAAAAGGAGCAAGCCTGCCCTTGGCACATGTGGTCCCATGCTGCAGAAGGGCTCCCCTCCTCTCCCTTGCCCCTCCCCTCCCTTGTCCCATCTGTTGCACACTGCTCTAAGTCTACATTCACTGGAGACTGTAGCTTTGGGAAGGCAATGAATGGGGCAGGGAGAATCCTGACAGATCACGCACATCTAGTATGGACCTGCATCTGGTGTGGGCCTCATTGATGGAACTAAGGAGAGGGGTGTCAGAGACAAAAACAGGCCCTTTGCAGTGCAGGCTGGGGCCACATTACTTCACTATTTCGTCAATATATGTATAAAAGTTATCCAATAAAACAGAACCAATAATAGATAGGTAGGTAGATGGCTAGGTAGACAGATGATAGGTAGATAGATACATAATAGGATAGATGGATAGATAAATGATAGATAGATAGATGATAGATACATAGATGATAGATATAGATACCTTGATTGAGTTTTAGAGATTGGCTCATCCAGTTTGAGGGGATGATAAGTTGGAAATCTTCAGGACAAGTTGACAATCTTGAGATTAGCTAAGATTGGATATTGCAGTCATGAGTTTGAACGTTAGAAACACAGCAGAATTTCCATGTTGCAGCAGAATTTTTTCTTCTTTGGGAGACCTCAGTCTTTGCTCTTACGGCCTTCAACCAAATGAATAAGGTCTACCTACATAATGAAGGATGATTTGATTCACTTAAAGTCCAATGCTTTAAATGTAATCATGCCTAAAAAACACCTTCACAGCAACATCTACAGTAGTATTTGGCCAAACAGCTGGTCAAGCCCAGTTGACACATGAAACTAGTCACTGCAGTACAACTGAAGTCAGTCACAGTGGGTAGGACAGACCCTACCCTGAGAGATTTCAGCAGATCCACACAAAGATGATGGAGGAAATAGGGCCAGGGGAAGTATACATTCCATTTTCTGGCTACTCATCATAACATAATAGTTCAGCTGCTCAATCAGTATTTACTGAGGTCTAAGATAAGCCAGGCACTGTCCTGGGTGCTTCAGACACAGAAGTGAATGAAACAAAAGAGCTCCTTGCCTTCAGGAAGTTGACAGTCAAGGCCAGGGATCAGTGAACTATAACCAGGAGCAGGTCTGGCCTGCTGCTTGGTTTTACAAATAAAATTTTATCTGGATAGAGCCATGCCCACTTGTTTACATGTTGTGGTTGCTTTTACGCTATATCAGCAGAGTTGAATAATCACAACAGCAAAGCCTAAAATATTTCCTCTCTGGCAAACTTTACAGATAAAGTTTGCCAATCCCTGGTGCAGGCCTTTGCATAGCAGGTCAGTGAAGCCTAAGGGACTCTCTCCATTCATTCTGTTGACAACTACCAAAGGTGGACTAATTGCTTCTTCAGAAATAAAAAAAGAGAAAATGAACATAGAGCTTTTAAAATCTCAAGAAACGACCTCTAGTAGCAAAAGTGTTTACTATAGAAACTAGAACAAAAAGTTTAAAAATTGCATCTCCTGCTAGAATCAAGAAGGGAAGTTCCTGGTACAAAGAGGTAGAAAGTCTCCAAGAAGAGAACAAGTAAAAATGGAAAACATAACAGAATGAGATACAAATACCAGCTGAGATGAAAACATAAACTCAGAGATACAGGCCATATCGTTTTCAAGTAAACAAAAACAGCAAAAGCAGAATTAAAACCTGAACTGGATACCAAAAGATCCAAAGTGGCATATGGAAAAAGCTAAATCAATGAAATAGATAACGAGATGCTCTAAGGATTCCGAGTAAAAGAACAAAGTACATGAGAACTACAGGAGAGGAACAGAGATTGGATGTAAAGAAATTGATTTTCTCTATAAGCTACCAGAATAATTGAAAAAGAAGCAATTACAGCTTTTATTATGTAACTATTATGCCCTAGGTATTACAGTAAGCACTTTATATTCATTATCTATTTTCTTCATTGCAAAAATCCTTTGAGACACAAACTAATTTATCCATTTTTTTAAAGTAAAATGTGTAAGGAGTATGGGAAGCCTGTAAATTACCCATAGTTAGCTACTCAACAGATAAACCAGAAATCAAATCCTGGGCTGACTAAACTTAACACCTGATATTCCATACCCCTAATGAAAGAAACAATTAAAATTTTACTGAAAGCAAAAAAATGACCCAACTTTGTAGATCAGTATGATTGATGCTCATCGTGTACCAAGCAAAGTAATGATGAGTGATTTAAGTGCACAAACATGTCACTTTTTTTGGCAAAAAAAGGAAAGGTCCTCTACATTTAGGGATAATTACAGACATCTTAGAAGACAATAACATGGTGAACAAAACCCACAAATGCATTTTCAAGCTACACTAACAGGAATGAATTGTTTGGTTGAAAGAAAGGCAATGGTATTCTACACCTGTCAAGCCACATCTAGAATAAGGTCTGGTCTAGGAGCCATTTTTTAGGACTTTCATAATATGAGTCTTCAAACTTAGAAGGAAACCAGTTAGACACATCTTTGGAAGTGTTCAAGGAAAGTGTGCAGGCAGATCTGATCACAGCTCGAGAGGAGAAAACTACCCAGGCAATGGTGAGGGATAACTGAGCAGGTGAGGGCTCAGGTGCCTTCCATTGAAGACATTTCAGGAACTGACTGCTCTAATTGATGTTTGACTTGGGCTATACATGCACAAAGCAGGATTCAGTCATCTTTTATTGTTGCATAAACAAGGTTCAAATGACTTTCTGGGCAATGAAAGCAAGCTCGTGTTTGATGTATTGGAGAAAGTACTATTTCATTGTTTTTCTTTCACCACAGTTCTGTGGCTTATAGAATAGCTAGGTTATTGCAATCATTATTGTCATTTGGGTATTATCATTTTACAAACTCAGCAGAAAAAAATGATCATAGTCTAAAGATAGCTGTCTAAAGGCACTCTGAATTGCCCCTTACAGGGTTTTTGGATGCTTATGATAGCTGAGTAAAAGCTTAGCCCCAATTAAAAAGGAGCTTTTGCTGGGCGCAGTGGCTCACACCTGTAATTCCAGCACTTTGGGAGGCTGAGGCAGGTGGATCATGAGGTCAGGAGTTCGAGACCAGCCTGACCAACATGGTGAAACCCCGTCTCAACTAAAAATATATAAATTAGCTGGTCGTGGTGGTGAGCACCTGTAATCCCAGCTACTCAGGAGGCTGAGGCAGGGGAATCACTTGAACCCAGGTGGCAGAGGTTGCAATGAGTCAAGATTGCAGCACTGCACTCCAGCCTAGGTGACAGAGCAAGACTTTGTCTCAAAACAACAACAACAACAACAACAAAAATGAGCTCTAAAGAGGACAAGTGTAGCCAAAAGAAACAAATAAATATGCAGGACACAGTTTTATAATTTGTGCTGCTCTTGAATTAGTAATACAGAATAATAAAATGGAATACATTATAATTTTTATTCAGAACATGCTAAAATAATAACTATTTTATGAGTACCCATTAATGTCAATTATTATTCATTATTAATACTTCACCACCAAATTAAAGATGTGTCTGTGCTGCATTCTCCTATACTTGTTTCTTTCTCGGGTATTATAAGACTCAATTGCTTCATAACTAATTAATGATCTAATGCAACTTGGAAATAAAAATTGAAATCTAAATACCAGATATTAAAGTTGATATGAGATGACATTCTCTTATGTTCTCAGATTGTTTATCAAATTTTGATTAGTGGTAAATATTTGATACTCTTCTCAGGATCTTCTTTCAAGTTCCAAGTAATTTTTTTTCTTTGTAGGGGGGTACACATGGGGGAAATCACTCATTTGTATTTATTAAAGAAACTTAGAGACTAGACCTGGCAACCAAGGGGTGAGGTACTGGCCAGGAAGATGGAGTGGGCTCAGGCTCTGGGGATTTCAAGTGCAGATTGATGGCCTGAGAGAGGCCAAAGAGACCAGATCCGTACAGCAGCTGAGGAGGTGCCAAAGGGCACGTTCAGGCACTGGGGCCATCAGCTTGTTCTGAGGGCAGGGGTTGGAGGTTCAGATGCAGGGTAGGTTGGCCTGGCCTGGAATCTCCCTGAGGCCAGCATGCTTTCTCTACCTAGATCATCCACTGGTCCTGATCCTTTTCGTTGCCTTCCATGTCCACCTCATTGACCTCTCCATCATCAGGTGACTCATTGCAGTCATTCATCTCGTCTATGTCCTGCATATCCTCATCACCCTCTAAGTCCTCTTCACTATCCTTATCGTCTTCATCATCTTCCTCTTCCTTGTCATCATAGCATCCTGAGGCTGGCTTGCCAAAAGGAACCAGGTTGTTATCTTTCTCTGCGATGCTTTGGAGCCAGGCCTGATGCTGCTGTTTCTGCTGCTGCAGCTCTGTCTCTTCCACACAAGGTCGATCCAGATTAAACCATGTGTCAGTCCTACAAAGGAAGAGTGAGGTAAACAAAGTGGACATGGCTCCCAGACTGGGATTGAGTTCTGGCTCCACCACTTCCTAGCTGTTTGACCTTGGCCATGTCACCTAACCTTTCTTGGCCTCAGTGTCCTCATTGCACTGTGGGGAAGGGGGCTGCAGCCAGTGGTGATCTGGAAGGGCTTCACCCAGACTGAGTAGAAGAACCCACCAGAATCTGGGACTCACCTCCAGGTGGTTTTATGTGATCATCTAATCCTGTTATTCTAATTTTGAAAAAGAGAGACAACTCAGCAGAGCCATTAATGTCAAAGCTTTTGCCTGTATCAATATATTAATCTAATGGAAAATGCTCTAGAATGTTGTAGATATTTATATCCCTGTAAACAATTGCATCACATCTAAGATCTTTCTCAGAAGAATGTGAATTTATTCTAAAGTATTTCCTCTTGAAACTAAGAGGGTAAAAGTTCTACATATGTGTATACATCATTTTAAAAAAGTATTGGTACTCTCCCTTAAACCTCACAAAAGTCCTACAGAGTAGCTACCTTTAATTCCCTTATTAGAGATAAGAAAATTGAGACTTGAATATTTAGCAAGTTTTCCAGAGGCTAACAGTTTTCAAATTCCAGATCCAGGCCCAGAAACATTGGCAAGATTCACTTCACTCCACCCTACTGAAGTTGTTACCCAAGAGAAGGATTTGAAGATCTGACCCAACCCAAATAATTTCTTAGCTTTCTTCTCAGAGGTAAGCATGGAGAGTAACACTCAAGTTGATTAGGAAATTTAAGATGCATTTTATGCAATTTTCATTTGGAAGGCTAACTTTTCCAGCCTCACAAACATGAGAAGATTATTTGATCGGTTATGCTGGGTGAATATGGAACTTATGTCTTAAATGGCTTTGTTCCTTTCCCAGAAGGTAACATAGTACATTGCATGAAATAGGCATTTGATAATACAGGATATGTGGACTAATTTTTGTAGTTGAACCTCTATTTGCAGGATGTATTGATGATTGTTGAGTGTCCTCCTATGGACTCTTAGATGTACAATGCTAACAAATAAAATTTGCATATCTAATCCATTTAGTTTAGCAAGTGATCAATTGAATGAAAAAAGTCAAACAGATTGACTATTTTTACTAAGTAACCAAACTAACCTCTCTTTTCAGTTCAGCAACTTGTCAGTTCACTCTAACCCTTTGGCTCCTGAGTGATGCAGATATGAGTCTCTGGTCTACAGACAAGGACTTAGTCTAACAGCTCACTCCACTGTAGGGCCCAGGCTTGCGATGGAAAAACAGCAATTTGCCCTCCTTCGGACATTTTGATAAATGATAAACATATTCATTTCCAAACCTCAAAATTATTGCTGGAATTTTTTTTAAGCTAGCAACACAAAATTTGAGTCTTATATTCACCAAATTCAAGGAACAGAATCTCATAGAATTATAAAGTCCACCCAATCAATGGAATTCAGAGCTAAGAATTCAGCCACTAAATGGCATGATTGCTGTAATTAGTCGAATGGTATAATTATAGTAAACACATGATAAGTTGCCACTGAAGCACATAATTGCACAGTATAATGGTATTATTATGATTCCTGATGATATGATTTGGAAGTATAACAAATGCCCATAACAATATTAAAACATTTTTCATCTGTGTATTTTCTTAGTACCTGATTTGGATTTTTTACATTTTGGGGGTTTAAGTCAAAGACAGGAAATCAGAGCATGTTTTCAATGAAAGAAAAAGAAGTTATTATTCAGCATAATACCTTGTTGAGAATGTGGGTAGAAAGAGATAAAGGATAAAGTATGAAGTCAGTCATTAGGATAACCCTAAACAGGTATTATAGTTAATGGTTACAATGCAAGAAAACACCTGTACAAATGGGGATGTTATTTCATGTCTATTCCATGTCTCAGGAATTTATCATTTTACTTTGATTTTACCATGAAAATAAGCTTTCCCAGTACACAGTACTGTCCACACTAGATTTCTAACTTTATTTATTTATTTATTTGAGACAGAGTTTCACTCTTGTTTCCCAGGCTGGAGTGCAATGGCGTGATCTTGGTTTACTGCAACCACTACCTCCCAGGTTCATGCGATTCTCCTGACTCATCCTCCTGAGTAGCTGGGATTACAGGTACTCGCCATTATGCCCAGCTAATTTTTTGTATTTTTAGTAGAGACAGGGTTTCACTATGTTGGCCAGGATGGTCTTGAACTCCTGATCTCAGGTGATCTGCCCGCCTCAACCTCCCAAAGTGTTGGCATTACAGGCGTGAGCCACCGTGCCCAGCCTATCTTTGGTTTTAATGTCCCTAGGAGAAGACAGTGTTTTCAAGGCATGTGCACATTGGTTATATATGTGTTGTTGTCCTGAATATTCTTTTTAGATAATAGATTTTGTATGCTCAGAAACATTTTTATTTCATATAATTTGGAAATTGAAAGAATTCTTAGAGTGAGAATTGAGACGCATAGTTCAGGAATTCACGGACTCATTTCACTGAAGGTGCTGCGTGTATAAGTGGAAGTACATTCTTCTTAGAAAGAGATTTTTTTATCATGGTCATTAGTGGAGTTGTGAAGCCAGAAAGGTCTACCTGAGAGATTCTACCATCCATCTCTATTGGGGGTGAAATCTTCTGCACAAATGCTCATCAGATCTTTATTCCACTTCAGCTTCAACCTTCATAATAAGGAGGCTCTAACTAATCTGTGAAGTAGAAACCATGAGTTCTCTGCCTGCCAACTTGCTAATGCATTTTAACTTTCTTTTTTAAACAATGAAGTATAATGTTCCTTTCTATTAAGAATGCAGTTCACAAAACCTCCTAGCCACACATTGTCTAACAGAACTTCCTATGATAATGGAAAATCCTCTACCTGCACTGTTCAGTGAAGTAGCTACTAGCCACATGTGGCTGTGGAGCACTTGAAATGTGAATGATACATCTTAGGGACTGAATTTTTTATTTAACCTAATGGCAATTAATTTATATTTAAATTTAAATAACCATAAGAGTGGCTATCATATTAAATAACCATAAGAGTGGTTACAGCACAGCCCTTAACATTGTTTTTCTATGAAGGCTCCTCTTCAACACTATTTTACTCACTTATGGCACTGTACATTATGTTTTGTTAATTTACACATGCAGTACTGTATTATCACCTAAGCAAATATACAGCTGTAAGCATTATAAAAGGTCAATAAATATTGATAGTAATCAATGAATGATATCATTACAGATAATGAAATAGCATGACAAAATATAAGAGGTAATTAAAATCAGTCTTGCTTTTACTGACAAAGATAGTCCATGGAACCGGGAGCCATGATCACATCATGGTATAGGTTTTCATGATTTCAAATTATTTTGATGAGTTTCATACTCTTGATATTTATCTAAAGTTAATTCAAGATTTTTCTATTTGACCTTTCCCTGCCATGAATATTGATGGGTTTTACTGTAGTGTGAATTTCCAAGTGTCTTTCTTTTCTTGCACCCTGAAGATTCAGATTTTATAATGCATTGTTTATTGCTTAATTTAATTGCACCTCTAGAGAAAGGAGGAGAGATCGTTTCATCCTAAGGCTTGCTGTGAAAAAGATAAAGACACAGAATACAGAACCATAAAAGAATTAAGAATTCTATCTTGCTAGAAAGTAGTCTATGAACTGGGAACCCAATTGTCATTATGAATAATAATTTAAAATATGGATGAGAAATGCATATTTTGAATGTATTTTTATTGCATTCATTCTCTTACTTCTTTTCAACAAAAACGGCTCTTGAGTTAGAGATACAAGAATGAACTAAAACACAGATCCTGCCCTCCATCTCGCACAGATAACAGACATTAATCCAGAAACCTAAAAAACAATGATCAGTTATGTTCCAGAAAATTCCACAGCACTCTGAGGGCATTTAACTAAACGATCTGGTGTCACCCCAGGAAGAAATGACATTTGGGGTGGTATCTGAAGAAGGAACACAGAGTATCCCAGGAAGAATAGTAGCAAATCCATGTTAACATGAGGCCATCTGTTCCCTGGAAGGGGAAGAGGAGAGTCACATAAGGCCAGGCAGGAGAGGTACTCAGAGCTGGAGCTTAGAGTTAATGCCAGGGAGCTGGTCTCTATCTAAAGAGCAATAGGAACCAACAGTAAGAATATCAAGGATAGAGTGGGAAAGTAGAGGTAGAACATGACTCAACAAGCATGTTGAAAATGATCTTTCTAGCTGTATGGGGACAGGGGCTGGAAGGCCAAACATTTTCACACTTTCTGCCCATTGTCCAGGCAGGAAGAACTGCATGTTGCCCCAGAGAGATTAGAATGCAGATGAAAGGTGTGAGTGTACTTGAGGAATATTCAGAAGGTAAAGTTGGCAGGGCTTGGAGAAGGAATGTGAGTAACGAGGAATATGCTCACCACGGATGTCGCCAAGTTTCTGATGCGAACTGTGCTGTGGAGCTGCCACTCACTGTGAGAAGAGCCGTTGGCATTCTCAAGAGGGCAGAGATGAGTGCTCAAGGGAGCTGGCAGTGGCAGAATCAAGCACAGGAGAATCAAGTGTTCATTGTTGTGGAGCAAAGCAATCTTTCCAGAATCACAAACGTGTCAAAAATACAGGAAGAGATTCATTTAGTTTTGGTGGGTGTGTGTGTGTGTGTGTGTGTGTGTGTGTGTGTGTGTGTGTATGTTAAACACAAAATACACAACTCATCATAATCATTCATTTTCTGCTTTTTGGTAGTCTGTTCAGTTTGCTGATGGCACTTAGCCTGTGCTTCTCTCTGAGAAACGACTCTGCTCTTGGCTTACACAATTATCAAGTTCAAGATACAGGCTGCCTGGCAGACATGCTTCCAACTGTGTCCCATGGCACATAGCCAGTGCTTCGCAAATGCTCCCAGCTGAACATAAGCAATGCCCCCACAGACTCTACAATCTCTGTGGCCTTGTAATGAAAACAGTGCACAACTGCATTCCCTGGGTTCCAACTGTTTTACTTTTTCATAGAGGATGTCCTCAAT